TGTGACCCTTGACAGTTCTGTGGCTTATGACTTGAGCTATGACGTTCAATCTCTTAATTCCCATTTCACATTCGGTTAGGGCTGGCTCCAAGCGTCCCCAGCCTTAAACACAACCCATCTGAGCACACTAGCGGTGCTGCTTTGCTGCCTTCGCTAGGGCGAGAGCAGCCCTGCAGCAGCCCTGCAGCTGACAGCGGTGGAGTGGTAGAGCCAGCGCCCACATCGCTGGGAGAAAGTGCGCAGCCGCTGCCAGATATGAGGCAGAGAGAGAGAGAGAGAGAGAGAGAGAGAGAGAGAGAGAGAGAGAGAGAGAGAGAGAGAGAGAGAGAGAGAGAGAGAGAGAGAGAGAGAGAGAGAGAGAGAGCCGGTCCAGTCGGGCAGCTTTCCACAGCGACCCCGTCGACCCATCAGCGGCCACGGATCACGCAGGTGATCACGTCCGTGGTCGGCCCAAACAGGTTCGGCCATCCTCCGCCCGGCCGAGTCCCATTTCCGGGGTTCATTTTATCGGCGCCTGACCTGGCTTGGGCCGGTTCCGGGGTGTTGGCGCCGTGCGACGGGTCACCCGACCGGTCCCCTTATCGTTCAGCGGGAACCCGAGGCTGCGGCGGCGCACGCCGAGCGGGTACGGAGAGAGAGAGAGAGAGAGAGAGAGAGAAGAGAGAAGGAGAGAGAGAGAGAGAGAGAGAGAGAGTAGAGAGAGAGAGAGCGAGAGGGAGAGAGAGAGAGAGGGGGAGAGAGAGAGAGAGAGAGGACGCTACACTGGACAGCCGGGTAAGCTGTACAGTCGAGGGACAAAATATGCATGTGTGCTGCGTGGCAGGCCTAGCGAGCAAGGTAGTTTTTATTTGGTGTGATTGGAAAGCTCTTAAGTCGGATTTGTTATTTTAGCATGGCGGAGTGGCAGTGTATCCTGTGTGTTACATGCCGCGCACCACGACAAGTCAAAAGTGCTGACCTCGCCAACTCATTACTATGTCAATAGAAATGTGCTGTGGTAATGCCAGCATCGGCGATGCATGTTACTCACTCCAAGGACGTCTGGCCGAAAGGCACCCTTGCAGAGCCCACGCATTTGCATATACTTGGAGGGCACCAAATATGTGTGACAGTGTACTCAGCAGGAAACTGAGCATTTAGCCGGCTTAAAAGTTCGCCGGAAGGGCGGGTCGCTTTCACCATCGCCATCATCGGCAAGGCGGCATTGAAAAGGGAGTGCTGCGACGGAGAGATCAGACGGGTTATAGCGGCAAAGCCTGGCGTTGGCTAATGAATGCTGAGGCGATCTAACCCCCAACGGGATGGACGGGGTGACACAGTCCTGCCAGCTTCACCGGAGCCTTCTCTCCAACCATTCAACACTCAATCCTTGCATTTCATCTACAGAGCCAGCACCACCAGATAAGCATAACGGGCGTCTGCGCCCATACGCCCATCCTGAAATTTCCGGACGCCCTCCGAAAGACATGACACATTTGTTGTGCATGGTTAACAGCAATAATGCGGTCTCGAAGCGCGGCCCGCCGGCGTTAACGTACAATCTCAATGATATAGAGAACTTCCCAGCCCCAGATCCCAGAAGGATCGGGGGCTGGGACCGGTCGGAAGAGGTCGTGCTCAGGGGCGACGCCACGACGCCACGACGGGCGGCGACGCCAGGGGGCAAACGGGGCAAGAGGATGTTTTTGCCTCCCCCTTTTTGAGCAGTCTCCTTTTTCCACCTTTAAGGTATTGCAGTTAGTCATATAAGACCAAAAATCACATTAAGGAGGCCCTTATACCTGAGCTGGAGGGCAATAGATGCGTCTCAGAAGACCCTCTTCCGCTTTAAAAAGTCCGTTTACTAGATCATTAGGCCATCTTATTTTAATAGGGTGGTCGATCCTCTGGATAAGGAGGCCCAATCTTGTACTAAGGAGGCCCCTGCGTTGGCTCTGGGGTCCCCTTCACGGGACCTTGCACCTTGTTCGGGATTAGGAGGCTCCCCTATATATGGGAAGCCCTTTTCTGTAACATGAGACGCTGTTTTAGGCTAGCGAAACCCTTTGCTGAACAAGTGGAAGGTTTCGATTCTGGCCTGTCCAACTGTCGATAGTTATTTCTCTCGATGATATTTTTTTGATATTATCACCTACGTTGTCCCTTCCCCTTGAATAAAACACTGTGCAGAAGACGGCGTTGTGAGGTGGTCTCATTTTTCCCAGGAGGTCCTCTGAAAAATCTGGCCCCCAACTCAAAGTCCGTGGCACCGCCCTTGGTCGTGCCGCGTGAGCTCCCTAACATCAATGAAATGAGGCCTCAATTACATGAGGGTGGCGCATGGTTGAGATTCACGGAACAGTTAAGCCGCGCCATGACGGTGAGGATGCCCAATCCAGTATAGGAGCGATCTGAGAGCTAGCAGTACAGGAGATCTTCGTCATACAAGTAAGCTGAATGGTTCCAAGTCGCTGTGCAGCAGAAGCTCCTTGGTCGGCCTGGGAGGAAGTCACGATAACTTTCAAAGCGTAGTTCGGTCACGAACGAGGGGAGGTCGCATTGAGACATGACCCTTATGCGATGTAGAACCCAGACATGGCAGCAGACACCTGTCCTGACAGGAGAGCAGGTCGCCGCCACCTGTGAGATGGACACATTGTATGACTGAAGTCCGTTGTTCAGCAGCATATCCTCGTCATGACGAATGCGGTCATGGTGTAGCAGGACAGGAAACCTCAAGCGATGAAGGGGTGGTTTCTCTTATGACTGGGAGCAGGACTGTTGTGACTGAGAAGAGGTCCTTGCCTGGATCGAGAAGAGGCCGCATTGCTATGGGGGCACAAGTGTTAAGTAACGTACGCGTATTTGATGGCTTCGTGATACTATGTGAAAGCTGGTAATACACCGCACTGCAAGATCTAACATGTGCTTGCCTTTGCATTTACTTTTGATTCCAACAAGGGCTGCTCATCTAGATAGGTGAGAAGTGGCATATGACTTTGCATAAGGGAAACTTCACGCGGTTCGTTTCTCCTTCGTAGCTCCCACGGAATGTGTGCACACATTACCAAGCATCGCATTACCAAACAGTTACAAGTGTAATCAAGACCGCAGCTCGTTAGAGGACCGTTTGGCCTGAAGAGGCCTCGTTCACGGCGAATGCTCACCTTGAAAACTGGCCTTCCCCGACCTTCTAAAAGCTCGAGCGACCCCCGCCCCGTTCTTCCAGCAGATATCGCAGCTTATTTGCACCTGAACTCAGTCTCAATTTTAACTTCCTTCGGGTCAAACTATGACGCCTTGGTGTTGTTCTAAAACGTTTGCACTTGAGAAGTGTGAAAAAGCATCCTTATCCGCTTTGTACTTACAAAATACGTCCCGTGACGCATTCTGGATACCACGCTCAATGGATATCCAGTTCTTTGGCGACGATTCTTCACAGAGTGTGTTAGCTGCGTTAGCTGGAATACGTAAGCTACCGTTTTTTTTCCAACGCATCAAAACGACTTATTTATCAATGGCGACGTGCCAATCAGACAGCGGAGTTATTTTGCAAAATTTGCTTGGGACCTAAACAGTTAAAAATGGCAAAACCTGCCCCAAAATAGCCAACAAACCTCTATAGATTGGACCCATCTTGTCTCAGAGTTGGGAGGGGAGGGGGGGGGGGGGGGGGAGCGGAAGCCGCGTTGTAGGGAAGGGCTGGAGCCCTCCCCCAACTGAAGAGGGAACTACAGCCCTGCATTCAGATCATGGTTACGCTGGGTCAAGTTATGCAAATCGAGAGTTTAATGGTATTTCAACTTTGTTAATAAACCATGATAAACATATTGCATTTAAGTCCCGAATCCGAGGCTATTCAATGTGAATGCTGATGAACTCAGACTGCCGCTTATCACACAGTACAGCAAGTATTGCATAAAATTTAACCCTAAAGTATTGCATAAAATAACCTAAGTGAAAGCTGTTGCTCACGTACAAGGTCACGGTCATGTTTTCTTGTATATAGCATGCTGAGTGAAAAATTGGCGGGGGTCAACCCGCCCACGTAAAACCGGCTAAGCTGACAGAAGAAGCATGGTTTACGTCAACTTCGCTGCGCCATCGCTGATCGCCCATATTAATGATTGTTTTGGGGAAGCGAGCCGACCGCCGAGGTCATTTGCTACCCACTGCTGGCCGAGCTCTCGATAAACACTGTTTAGACCTCTATCCAGGCTTACATGCTTCGGGATAATGAATATTGCATGGGGATTAATATCTCAATGGTGGGTAGAGGCGGTTGGCCCGACACCTGACGCGACCTGAAAACCACAAAGGACTACTACCAGCGCACCGATGAAGAACAACATTCCTCCTCTGTTATTGAGAAAGATTAGTGTTGGCTGTGAGCAAAACGCAGAGTCAGATGAAGGAATTTCCACAAACACCTTCATTTCACCACCTCACCCTCCACAAGATGAAGCCTTACGGTCCGCATTAGTGCACGTTAATACGAAACTATCCATCGGACGTAACATAGACACGGAACCGTAACTAAGCGTCCGACCTAAATAGCTTAACTCCCATGGTTAAGAGGGTCCTGTCGGCTTAGGGGCGGCGCGCGGCTGCCAGCACAGCTGCATGCGGCGCGAACTTCAAGGCTATCGAACCAAGACAATCACTGGCTGTTGTTCTCCCGGAGCGCACCCACGACACGGCTCTGGTCCAAACATCGCCGACCAGCGTTACCACCTGCAGAGGTAACTTCCTCTCCGCCGTCCCGGTCACGGCCGCTCGTCCCTAAGCCCCCCCCCCCCCCTCCCATAGCTGCAGGGCAAGCTCTGAGAGCTCCTGTTGGCACCTCCCGGAGAGCTGAGCCCCACGTGCCACGTGACACCTACACCGTTCTCCGTTCGCAGAATGGGCGGCATGCTGGCGGCAGTAAGCCTCCTGCTCCTCCAGGATGTCTGTCGGGCGATGGTGTACGAGCGGTGCCAGCTGGTCAACGAGCTGCGCCGCAAGGGCGTCCCTGAGAAGGACCTGTCCGACTGTGAGTAACGCCACTGCCCACACCTCCCCAGAAATGGCTCTCGCGCGCAGTCATCCAGACGCGCACGGGAGTCGCCAGGACGCACAGTGTGGGCATGTCACAGTTCAGCTGTCGATGCTACTCTTCCTGTTAATGTGTTTTATATTTCAACTTTTGTCGCGCTCAAACTCCCACGTCAGGTCACTATCACTGCCGAGGAATCAATCGAACAATGCAGCTGAGGTAAATCAGCTCCATGGGTCTAAATAGGATGTTTTCAAGTTCGAGCAGCAAATTGTAAAGCATAGATATATCGACCGCGGTCAAGCCCGTTTTTGTGAACGCAGAGCAAATGCCATATAATTTATCCCATGATCCGAGACGAAGTGCTAAGTTTGTGACTTAGCTGTTTCAGACCGACTGACGCGTACTTGTGCATAAGCAAGTTTGTAACAGTGGGACCACAGAATCCATTAATTTCGCCTTGCGTATCTTCATGGCGGATTTGATTCATTCGCAATGTTCATCAATGCGTCACTAAAATGCAACATCATCAGTTGCTACGATCCTCGGGTTGGACCACAAACCCTCGGGAGCTCATTTCCAACTTAGGCCGTGTATGCATTTTGATTACAGTCACCACATCAGCGTCTAGGTGGCACCGTCCCGACCTTACCTTACCCGACCCGACCTTACCCGACCTTACCCAACCTTACCCGAGGACAGTCACGTGACGTGTGCCCGGCCCTCCGACAGGGGTGTGCCTGGCTTACCACGAGTCCCGCTACGACACCAACGCCGAGGGTCGCCTCAACTGGGACAACTCGGTCGACCACGGCCTCTTCCAGATCTCGGACATCTACTGGTGTGACTGGCGCCATAAGGAGCCCGGCAGGCGCTACAAGAACATGTGCCGCAAGAGCTGTGACGGTGAGTATGATGTTTCGCCCTTCCTCGGCTTCTGGCCTGGGCCTGACCCTTGACGCGTGGTGTAGTTCCTCTGTTGCAGTGCAGTTTTTACAGTCTCTCTTTGTATGATTTTTCTCCCTAAAACAAATTTCCAGCGAGGCATGTTTAGAACCTTGTCTTCTCTAGGCGTCTTTCATAATCATACTTATGTGTGATGATTTTCTAGCATATTCTAAGCAATGATCAGTGACTAGGTTCTGCGCGACTTTTTCTGTGGGATTCAAGTATATTTCCTGCAACAACTCCAGTCACTTTGAGGCCGAATTAAGCACAATCTTTGATATTTAAGTTCGAGCACAGGCTCCCCGCTTTTCAAAGTTGAACAGAAATTACTTAATTTTCATCCGTGAAGTCATGTAAAGGTGTAAGCCTTTTGGCAGAACCCCGAAGCTCAGTACAGGTGTGTAATCTACGTTGCTGTTACTATGGATCCATCAGAGGAATTGATCAGAACCTTTCATCCAATCCGTTAAGGCAAGAGTGGGCCGCCACAATTCGAATCCTAAAAGAGGATTACGATAGCTTACCAAGCGACCAGCACGCTATAGTCTGCACGAAACGATGTCAGATGTGCGGAACTGGGCATAGCGCTGTCCATGCCATTGCCTCGGTATGCTTTTTCAAGTTGAGACCACACTCCCTATGCTTAGACAGGTCAGTTCAATTCAGTTCATGTCAGGTCAGGTAAGGTCAGGTCAAGTCATGTCAGGTCAGGTCAGGTCAGGTCAGGCTAGCTCAGTTCAGCTGAATTTAGTTCAGTTCAGTCTATTTCAGTATAGTTTAGTTTAGTTTAATTCAGTTCAGTTCAGTTCAGGTCAATTCGAGACCCGCTCCGCGCTTTATCGCAGAATTGACTCTGTCTCATCTTGGCCAGCCCGCGCTCTGTTGCGGGTCGACTCCGTCCTGTCTAAGTCGGTCCACCTCCGGCTAATATCCTGGTTAGCTTCGCCCTGGCAGCGCTTCACGCGCGCTCACACTGTCGTGCAGCAATCCACACTGGCCATCGTGCAAAGCTGTATTCCGTGTACGGACGGACGATGCCCTGCGGGGTAAGCTCAACACGCGGTGGACGGGTCACGTAGGACAGGGGTGATCGCGGTAACCCATCCGCGGCCACAGGCGCTGGCTGCCACACCGTGTCCCATGAGCCAACGGGATGAGCGGCCTGGGCGGCCATCGCAGCCGTTGCCTCCAGAAACTGCCGGCGACTGTTGGCCTTGGCCAGGACTGGGGAGCGAGGCTCATGCCAGCCGCGGCTTCCTCTCTAGGATCGGACAAATGCAACTTATAACGGGGTGAGCTGCCTGAAAATGTTCGGTTTTCGTCGCGGACGCGTCGCCAATAGTGTCCGTGTTCAGGTGACATTCCTAACGCCAGCCATCGCCAATAGTGTCCGTGTTCAGGTAGCATTCCCGACGCCAGCCGTCGCCAATAGTGTCCGTGTTCAGGTGGCATTCCCGACGCCAGCCGTCGCCAATAGTGTCCGTGTTCAGGTGGCATTCCCGACGCCAGCCGTCGCCTAATAGTGTCCGCGTTCAGGTGGCATTCCTGACGCCAGCCGTCGCCAATAGTGTCCGTGTTCAGGTGGCATTCCTGACGCCAGCCGTCGCCAATAGTGTCCGTGTTCAGGTGGCATTCCTGACGCCAGCCGTCGCCAACAGTGTCCGCGTTCAGGTGGCATTCCTGACGCCAGCCGCCGCCCAAATCCGCACCAAAGCTATTTCCGTCACTTGTCAATGCACGTCCGATGGTGAGTCGGCTTACCTGGGCGCACGGGGCGGCAATGCACGTCCTATGGTGAGTCGGATTACCTGAGCGCACCGCGCGGCGGCAATGCATATGCCCGCCTCAAGGCCGGCGAGCGGTGAGCCGTCCGTGCCGGCGGCTGTCCAGTGGTGGTCGCCGACTGTCCTCCTGGTAATCCTGATTAGTCGGATAGCGCTGGCTGCAGTGGGCCGCCAGGCATGGAACGAGGCGGAGCGGCGGCGCCTCGCAAGGCCACCGATGACCCCAGCCTGGCCGCTCCGGCCACCGCTCGGCCCGACGGCGGCGGCGGCCGGGCTCAGCGTGCTCCGCCGGGTCTATTCTGACTCACACCGGACCTCGGCCCCGTAGCAAATAGCAGTCATGCGCTGCCTAATGAATGACCCCAGGACGTCCTGTAACTGCATGACAGGCACGGTACGCTGCCGCCGTTGTAGCGGACCACAACTCGCTGATCCTGCCAATTATGTCATGGTGCGGCCCACGGCATTCCTCCCCTTTTTACCAACCACAACATTTGCTGATATTCGTCCCGGAGGTCTTGTGGCTAGAATGCAATGTTTCTCCACGAAGAAATGTAGACGCTGCTAGTTGCAGGCACGGTGCTACGTGGATTCCAGTTGCTGGCAAGAAGTGGCCAGGTCTCCGATAACGACGGAAAGTATTTACTACTGGCGCGTACCTGATATACTTTGTCATATTCCCAAGAGTGAGCTTCACCTACCGGCTCAGTTTCTGCAACAAAAAATGTCCCGATGCTGAGTTTAGTGTTGGATTTAAAAAACGTCAACACCCACAGCGGATTTCAACCAATGACAAATCCAAGCCCATCCAGACAACCTGTCTTAGTGCATTCAAACAGCTAATCAAAACCTGGCAGAGGCAGAGTTCAGCTTCTGACAGCACTCACAAGTACCTGTGGTTATCAGGCATTGTCCCGCGTTTGAGTAAAATTTCATTGTCTTCTAATGCTCGATCATATCTCATCTTACCTGCCAACCCTTATGGCGACCACATTTCAATTTCATTACTTTACATGTCAGGGAAAGCCTGACAGGGTACAAGACGGGCGACCAAAAACCTCACCCAGCCTCTGCTTTTACAGCCGACTGTTGCCAACGTGGCTGCTCATGCACCGCCTGCCGCTGCCCCCCCCCCCCCCCCCTCCCCCTGCTGGAGGCCGGACGTGGCGCGCGACCGTCCATAAGTCGTTCGGCGGTAGCGGCGGCGTTCGCCGCGCCACGCCGCCCCGGCACGCGCCATCGCACTTGTTGCGGTGTGCGGGCGAGGCGGGCCCGACCGCCGATGGCCAGTCGTCACGAGAGCCGACAGTGAAGCCGCGGGGCCCGGCCGTCCCTCAGTAGACCGAGCGGTGACACGTGCCGCGCCCTGTCACGCGTCCCCGGCTGTTGCAACCGTGACAGAGTGCCCCACACAGCCCCGGCCCCAGTCCGGCTGTGTTCGGCGCGACACGCCGCCGCGAACGCCCGCAGGCCTGCACGCCAGCCCGTCTGCCTTACTGGCGGTGGCGCCGCTGCCCCCGGCCCCGGTCCGGCTGTGTCCGGCGCGACTCGCCGCCGCGGACGCCCGCAGGGCTGCACGCCAGCCCGTCTGCCTCACTGGCGGTGGCGCCGCTGCTTGCGCTAGCACGCCATTAGACAGAGGCGGACCGTGCTGTCGGCGGCAGGATATAAGAGAATATCCCTGCTGGGGTTCTGAGCCGCGACGCAAGAGGATTGGGCAGCCGACCCCGGCCTCTCGGGGAGAACCTGCAAAAATCGGGCTTGTCGTTGCTGCGCAGGTGGGAATAGAATCCCAAGTACGTCCCGGGCTGCGCGAGCGCTTGCGATCGGATCTCAGTCCGGTCACTAGCCTGTGATATCGGCCGGGAGCGGTCCCAGGCTGCACCGCCGTCGCACGTGGGACGTGTATCGGCCATCCGCAACAACGCCCACCTGACGCACCCCGCCACCCCGCAGCGTTCCACGACAACGACATCACAGACGACCTGGCGTGCGTCATGATGATCCACAAGGAGCACCAGCGTCTGCAGGGCAACGGCTTCATGGCTTGGTGAGAGGGCGTCGACATCAGTACCCCACGCGGATCTTCGCCGCCGCCGGCCGTCTGGAGCCGCTACGCGGGGCCTGCGCGCGTCACTCGTAATCCCTCCTCCAAGCGAAGCCGGCTTGGCGGCTTTGTGTCGTGTTGACCACAGGCGAGCCGTTTTATGACACAGAGGAATGGCTGGGTCCTGTTCGGACCACGCTGCTAACAGCCGAGCCGGTGGCCGAGAGATTGTTTGCTCGTAACAGCGCTCTTCCGTCCCGGGTAGAGGTCGTAAGATCTCCGCGACGTCGGTTCATTTGGTCGCTCAATCGCCCAGTCGCAGGCCGGTGGGACGCCGATGGCCGCTGTGGTCGCCGCCAGCAGGCTTCTCGCACCCGGTAAACGCCGACGCGCCTGTTTCAGGACGGCATGGAAGAACAAGTGTCGCGGCTCGGATATGACATCCTACACAATTGGCTGCGACCGCACCACGAGTAGCACCACCACGACGACGTCGACGGACCAGCCAAACGAACGAACGAACGCGCACACTCACTTCAACAACCTGGCGCCGCTCTTCAACCAGCTAGTACGCACCAGGAATCACGACAAAGGTAGACTTGTGCCCTACGTGCGCGCCCGGAAGGGCTGGAAGGACGACACGCAACGCAACCCGTTCATCGGTGACACGCCGGCTAGGACCCCCCAGTCGGCCCCCACCTCGCGACCGGGCACCGGCAATGTATTTCTCCGAAGCTCTACGGTCGCCTCTCAGCCCGCACCGAATGCCTTCCCGAACAACATGTTTCTCAGCGGCTCCAGAAGCTCCTCCCCACCCGCAGCGAATCGCTTTCCCAACAACATGTTCCTCAGTGACTCCGGGAGCGCCTCCCCACCCGCAACGAATCGCTTTCCCAACAACATGTTCCTCAGTGGCTCCGAGAGCTCCTCCCCACCCGCAGCGAATCGCTTTCCCAACAACATGTTCCTCAGTAGCTCCAGAAGCTCCGCCCCACCCGCAGCGGATCGCTTTCCGAACAACATGTTCCTCAGTGGCTCCGGAAGCACCTCCCCACCCGCAGCGAATCGCTTTCCCAACAATATGTTCCTCAGCAGTTCCCAAAGCTCCTCCCCGCCGGCAGTGAATATCTACCCCAACAACATGTTCCTCAGCGGATCCAGCACCTCTTCCAGTACCTCTCAGGGCTCCTCCGTGCCAGCAGCAAACCGATTTCCCAACAACATGTTCCTCAGTGGCTCCGGAGGCTCCTCCCCACCCGCAGCGAATCGCTTTCCAAACAACATGTTTCTTAGCAGCTCTTCCGCTTCTTCCTCCTCGCTGAGTAGCTCTGAGAGCTCGTCCCGGGGTACAGAAAGACCCTACTCCGGTAGTGCATCCTCTGTCCGACCAGGAAGGCTTCGGCCCGCAGCCGCCTCGGGCAGACGACCTGCTGTCACGAGAGCTCCTGCCACCACACGGCAAGAAATCGCCACCAAACGACCCGTCACCACCAGACGGCTCGTTACCACCAAACGACCCGTCACCGCCAGGCGGCCCGTCACCACCAGACGACCCGTCACCACCAAACGACCCGTCACCACCAAACGGCCCGTCACCACCAGACGGCCCGTTACCACCAGACGACCCGTCACCACCAAACGACCCGTCACCACCAGACGGCCCGTTACCACCAGACGACCCGTCACCACCAAACGACCCGTCACCACCAGACGGCCCGTCACCACCAGACGACCCGTCTCCACCAAACGACCCGTCACCACCAAACGGCCCGTCACCACCAGACGGCCCGTTACCACCAGACGACCCGCCACCACCAAACGACCCGTCACCACCAGACGGCCCGTTACCACCAGACGGCCCGTCACCACCAGACGGCCCGTCACCACCAAACGATCAGCCACCACCAAACCCCATAACATTTGGACACGGACCACTACGAAACGGCCCACTCGCCGACCAAATACTGCCAAACCCACCACTCGCCGACCATCCGGCAAAAGACCAGTCACCACTAAACGACCAACCACCACCAGGCGGCCGGTCACCACCAAACGACCCGTCACCGCCAGGCGACCTTTCACCACCAAACGATCCGTCACCACCAGGCGACCCGTCACTACCAAGCGGTCCGTCACCAGAAGAAGACCTGTCACCACCAAACGACCCGTCACCACCAGGCGGCCCGGCACCACCAGGCGACCTGTCACCACCAAACGATCCGTCGCCAGAAAACGACCCGTCACCACCAGGCGGCCCGTTATCACCAGGCGGCCCGTCACCACCAAACGACCCGCCAACACCAGGCGTCCCGTCACCACCAGGCGACCTGGCACCACCAAACGATCCGTCACCACCAGGCGGCCCGTTACCACCAAACGATCAGCCACTGCCAAACCTCGTAACATTTGGACACGGACCACCACGAAACGGCCTATTCGCCGACCAAATACTACTAAACCCACCACTCGCCGGCCATCCGGCAAAAGAACAGCCACCACCAAACGACCAACCACCACCAGGCGCCCATCCACCACCAAACACACCACTCGCCGACCACCGGCAAGGCGCACCACTCGCCGACCACCGGCAAGACGCAGCACTCGGGAGCCGGTCCCTAGAAGCGGCCCCGTCGCCTGGGGCGGCCGCGTCGCGCGCCAGTCCGGCGCCACGCAGCAGCCGGGCGCCGTGCACGCCTGGAGCACGCCCGCCACAACCTTCAGACCCTCCATCTTCGACGAGAACGGTAACCTGAAGGCGACGGCGAGGGGCCGGCCCGCGTCAGTAGCCGGTTGAGGCTCACGAGGGTCGTCGTCAGCGGTCTTCAGCGTCGATGCACCGTCCCTGTGGTGGTTCTTTAACTGGGCGTTATTCTGTAGGTCGCTCAGTTTGTTTTATGCTATTATGGACGACGTGAAGGTGTTACTTCACCTTGAAACGAAAAACGCTGGCGAAGGCACGTCTATTGTACGTTCTGTTCGCGTAACCTGTCAGCTGTCATATCACTTGACGTTCATGTTCGTGTTTTGTCCGAGAGATGTCTTGCATTTTTTCTTTGCGTTCCTGATTGGCTGTTGTGTGCGATGAGTTAAAGGGCGTGGTCATCAGCAGAGGCCGAGAGACTATCTCCAGATCTCGTGATAACCTGATACATATCATACTATAACCATGCTGGCCATGGGTGCTCGTCCTGTTGATCAGGATAGTTTTAGTTGTTGATGTTGCGGAAGACGCAGCCGAAAGGAGTCGGCACTGTTCACTAGCGTGATTGAGCGTTGTGAACACATACATCGAAAGCCATATGGGTCGAACTGTTTCGGTCGCGGTGCAATTGCGGATGTATTTTAAATGTAAGTCGGCTGCTTGACATGCATCATTCTACATCCGCGGTGTAAGGGTTGTAACAAGGAGTTGCATGGCTCTAGGACATAACGATGATGGGATGGTTGGTGGTGTTGTTATCGGGAATGTATTCAGACATTGGTGATGCTTTTCCATGATTTACAAATGCCGATTCCTGGAAAACAGTGATTTTCATTTGAGATGCAAGCCCACTGCGGTCATGGAAGTTGTAGGTAATTGCTTAATAAATATAAGCGGAGGTCGTGGTATAAACAGGTGTCTCTTAGATAGGCAAATAACGAAATTTACTTAAATGTCATAACTCTATTTGAGACTGTGCATTTGTCGATTTTGTGGATTTGTTATTGTGTTAAGTTGCTGACTCACGCGAATACAATCCACGATTTGAGTTATTTTCGCAAAGGGTGCATTGAATGCGTTTGCTTGTCCTTGGTGGCCGCCAATGATTCCAGACTTGCTCACTCAGCCACGTAATTCTCATTGGTTGGCCCCATGTGTGACTTCCATTGTGCTTCGAGACATGCGTAGGCGCAGCTTGCGCTCTGTCTTTCAAGGAATCGCCTTGTCAAGTCACTCTCTGCGCAGTCTGCCGCCCGTTCCACGGCCTATGAGTACTGTGGGTCCGTAAACATTTCGGCAGCGTGGCCGGGGTGACCTGATCCGCTCCTGGTGTTCCAGAGTGACCTTTGCTGCCGCTCAGTCGCCGTCGCTCGCTTGGCCGCCTCGCCGTCCTGCGCTGCTGCTTCTCAGTCTCGCCGCTGGCGTTTCTCAGTCTGGTCGCTGGCGCTTTTCAGTCCCGCCGCTTCTGTACACAGCTGCGCCAGCCGGCCGGGCCCGGGCCGGGCCGGGGCCGGGCCGAGGCTGACCGGATCCCGTGCTAGCGGCGCTGATCACCTGCCTGACTGGTGTCGCCTGCAGAAACGCTCAACCTCCGATTACGACGACAACGCTGACGTCATACAGATGGCAATGGCGACGTCAGACCTCTCACGGCAACAACGATCAGACAGAGGTGGTTTCCGGCTTCCACCAGCAGAGACAGCGATGATGTCAGGCAGCGACGACACTCGTGACGTCAGATGTCAGACAGTCGGTGTGTGACAGCGGGGACAATAGCCGTAACGTTTGACTCTTGGTGAAAGCTTCCTGTGACGTGTGACTTTGTGTGTGACTCCGTATGGCCTGAACATCAGGAGCACCGCCAGGCTATCACTGCTTGTGCTGCTGGCAATGACTCTGTGACAGTGAAAACGTCGCAACATTTCGATCCACACCTGGCTCAGACAAACGTGCCTAGTGCACAGTGACGTATCGCGCAGACGCTCTCGCTTGCTGCCCGCCTTGCCGGCTTTATCTGTCACGTGCTGCTGCTTGAGTAAGCTGGGTACTTTGCAGGCGGTCTGAGGTTGAATGTACCGGTGCCGCTCTGGGGGCACTCAACCGCGGCCAGTACCCCACAGGTACGCCCAGTACGCCGCGGTACCGGGCGTACGCCGCCGCGGGGCTGCCCGGCCGTTAGGTGCTCTCCGAGAAAGCAGAACGCCAGGCAGGAGAGAACCAAACACTTTCAGGTCACACGAACATCTGCGCATTACTTCTGCAGGTGATTTGCTGGGCTTCGTCTTCATGGTTAATACAATGACAGCCCCTGGTGACGCTGTTTCCGTCAGTGCGACGGCACGATGATTAGTCGTACCCGGACTCAACGTCCAGTGGCTTAACGGAAGCTGAGACCGGTTTTGACGAGCAGAGGCGCATCCAGCAAGAGTCGAGAGTTCTCCTTGGTGGCGCTCGATTCGGCTACCGGCAAACAGGACAACTGAGAAACGGTGGCACGAGTGCACCAGTGGAAAGTCGTCTGCATCCGGCACCAACGCCAGAGGCCAATGCACACCAGCTTGGTGGGCCAACCTTAATCGGTAATCTGGCCAGCATCCTCGCGGCAGCTGATGCTGGAGATAGAGCCTGCAGCTGTAGCAGCCTGACATGAGTGATTGGCGGTGCTGGCGCACCCGAGCACGCTCTCATCAACGCCGGAACCATAGCGCTCATTAGGCGATTGAGATTTGATCTACAACGGGACGCTGCAGTTAGTCACTCATCGGTGGGCCACTTTTCACGGTAGAGTCCGGAAAACCTGTCCGGCCTTGCCCTGCTGGATAGCCGGTTTGTTCGCATCAGGGCCGGGGCACGGCGACCGTAGACGTGCAGCGCGTAAAACGTGGTCACAGTTCAGGTTCGCATGCCTTTGGGAAAGAACAAAGTGGACGTTACAGGAACCGATCGGTGCCATTGCAGAGAATGAGGACGCGGCAAATTGTGCTGGCCGCTTGAGGTGCACAGATTAATCGGCTCGCTCGGCATTACGACGCCTGTAGTCTACACCTATGGTCAGTAATCATTTGCACCTGGTCTGAAAGGAAAAGCTGTAAACATCCCCCCTACACCCAGAAAAAACAGCACCACATGTCGACGAAAGCTTCTTGTGTCTGACAAGCTTAACAATACTCGATTTAACAAAGTATGATAGGATAAGGATATCAGACGTCGTGGAATTGATGGAGGGCGAGAGATGTAGTTGATGGAAACGGTAACTACAGGTTAGCAGATTACCTGAATGCTCATGGCGCGTGGCGATATGGAGAAGGGCGATACCATGTTTGAGCTAAGAGTCTGTCATTTGCAATGCTCAGTATGAGCGAGGCGATGGCAGGGTTGAGCCAAAAATCATGGCTGTGCGCGACACTCAACATAAGAAAAACATGCATGCCGATTATCCATATGCTGGATGAGTTCGTTTCAGGCTTTCATTGCGGCATTTCTGATAAAATACGTGATGACGCTTTACAAACGCTTGACACCGCGCTGATAAAGCTTATGATCAATCGCTTATTGATTTCGCTGCGTCGTTTTCTCACATCTGAACCGCAGCATATTGCTCGGCGCTTCCCTGGTCCAGTCGGCTCAGTGCTAGGCAACGGTGCCCAGCTGTGCGTTCTATTGGAAATGGGTCAACCGTGGATGGAACTCGATTGAAATCGTTTCCAGCCTGCGCACGCTTGGCCTCGTCCCTACCCGAGGCTCCACGGCTCCGAAATACTTGAACGCAGTGCGTTGCACTAAGGTGGCCAGTTCACCAACGTGTCGGAATGCTATCATGAGTGATAAGGAAGATAAAGCACGAAAGAGACGTTTATCCATGCATTTAGAAATGTACAACTTTAAATAAGGTGCAAGCATTGACTGCAGTACGACAATCAGTCATTTTGATTCGTAACGATCGATATTGAACATGTAATTTGTTGAGTTTTAACATCCCACCGGACGCATTGTCGCCTTTACCATGTGATGCACACAAGCCAAAGCAAGATCGAAGCGCCACTTACGTCCTTATGTTTTGTTCGGCCGCACACTCCACTGCCTCATTTACAAATTACGGCCAATAGAGTGTCAGTCTGTTTTTATGTCTACCCTCCGCCCAGGTATTAGCGGCCGGCTGTTCGAGATTTAAGCACCGCGCGGCCCGCATTGTTCGGGGCTTACGGGCAGCGCCGCCGGCCGCGCTCGTCCAATGCCAATTGTCATCGCTGCTGACGTCATGTGTTCACTTTCCCAGCCGGCCAAGTTTTGTAATTTCGGCGGATTTCACGGCGCTGGCTGCTGTGGGAACCGGGCGCCAAACATCAAAGGGCCTGCCATCGATTGGGAGCCCGGTTCTGGAGGAGTGATTTTGGTGGCGGCGGCGGGCCCGGCTGCTAATGCCGGGTCTTCTGTCGCCGGTGTCTTCCCTCCCGGGCGTTTTCCGTGTGTGGGTTCCGACTCTGTACAGCCGGGTTTCCCGCCTGGCCCGCTCGTCCTGTTGTTGCTAGTCTCCAGACCGCACTCACCAAAGACAGAAAGCTGAAGTGAAACTTTCACCTTCATATTGGGATTTCAACTGAGATAGGATTGTAGCGAGGACTGGAAAAATTTGAATGCGCCGAAAGAAAAAGCTTATTATACATACACAAATAAAGAACAGATTATTCAATTTAACAGCTTCACAGCGTACACGTTGGGTACAAATGTACACAGTGATTGGCTAGCGGTATGACGTCCTCATTGCTGACGACAAGGCTGCGTCACACGAGTTGGCAGAGGGGCCAATGGTCACCATCCACTTTCGCACTAAGGCCCGTTCGGAAGTTGACCTGTAGCTTTCCTGCTACCCCTATGCTATTATGTTAAGTTCACAGTCACTGAAAATTGATTGTTATGGTACGCACATCTAGCATCGCACTCTCCAGCAGTGTACTTTGCATGACAAGAACAGAAATCATTTTGATACTGACACGAAACCAGTTTCAGACCAGGGCTCTGAGGCAAATGATGGAAGTGGGCGTTATTGGCCAGTGGCCAGCTGACACCGAACTGAAAGCGATGAAGTGTTGATGCTGCAAACAAAGAAGTGATGCTGAAAGTTTAGCACTCACCAAATCCTGTAATCCTGTTTTACATTTATAAGTCGAAAAGACAGATGATGGCATGCATATCTTTAGAGTTAATTAGACATAGACTAACAAGATGATTAAGTCCATAAGATAGCTTGGCTAAGCATCACAAAATGGAGCTGTTTGCTGTTGCCGGCACTGTGTTGCTGCGGATGATATGCTGTGTGGGATGAATTCGTGGGATTCAAGCTCACACTACATAGTTCTTGTTGCGTGCACACCCTCACCACGGATCGTGCAATTTCAGGAAGCAGGATAATTTGGTGGTTAAGTTAAGCGTGGAACAAGGGACGGCAAAGTCAGTCCTGTCATGTGACGTCGCTTGACCTTTAATGCGGGCGCTGCCACCGGCCGCAGACCACACCTGTCAAGGACAGTGGACGTCTAATGCGACTCAAATCCACCCCGCCACGGGTGGGCGGATCGGAGGGCAGGTGCCCTAACCGACTGAACTTTCAGGACAAACCGCACGCTCGTCTCGTTCTGCTTCATCACGTTGTAACATATTACTCATGTTACCTGAAGAGCTACCTTTCATTCGTTTCTTCTTTCTTTTCAAGTTCGTAACATCGTTATTCCTAATCGTGCAGAGACGGCGTATACCAACCCTACGGAGGCGAACCCATCCCTAAAGTCGTGAAACTTGACCGTCTTCTCATGATCCTGCCCTCCAGTTCAGCCGCAGCTGAATGTAGTTCCAGCGCGAGACAGGGGCTGAAGGCTTGCTTTGCTTAATGGCGACATGAGGATCAACGCGACGAGGATCGACATGAGATGAGGATGCATCACGTCAGAGGACATTTGGCTGCGCTTAGGGCCACACTATAAACGGTGTTGGTGCAGACCTGGAAAAAGCATGTGAACTCTGTGACCCCTAAAGGGTATGCTCCACATTTGGGGACGTGGAAGCAAGCACCATGTATGGCGAAATAAGCTTATCTATAGCTATTGGTATGAGTCGAAAGACAACTGTAGACAACACGATTTCTCTGTTTAGTAAATATGTCCCTGAATAGGCCATGATTTGATTTCGATTACACCATCTTGCCTTGCACGGCATCGACTGAGGGCAAATTGACGGCCATTGTCTCTGGAAATCATGCTCACTAACGCCAGATATCAGCGAATTGACAGTTATATTTTTCTTGGCCTTGATCGCTGCACAGCTAAGGGAATGACAGAATTTGGATAACGTTATGATGGCGTCATGGACGCCTGGGTGACCTTGGAATAGACCCCCCCCCCCCCCCCCGAGATAGTCCGCACATCCTTGCTTGCAGGCGTGTAGCTCAAAAGTTGGAAGGGCTTATGCCTTTAGAAGGGCAGGGCTGTGAACGGCGCCGAATGATATCAAGGTGGCTATTTCAGTTTAAAACCCCATACAAATGTGGAACACTCCCTTTGAGCAGCGTATCGGGTGAGTACCTGTGTCGCCGCTGTAAACAATAGCCATATTTACTCTGGCATTATTTTTCCATAAGCAAAGGAAAAACAATTGAAATCGGGCGTCTAAGCCAGACCGTAGCTGCGCGGTATGCGTGAATTATCACTCTCCGAAGCTATTGCCACTATGCGTACATACGTTCATACACTGATACATTATATTGGCAATCGGTCTAGGGGATGATGTGCACTGTGCTGAGAAGAAGTTATGAAACTGGGACAAAAAGCTTTCGCCTGCATGGAGCAACGGACGCTCATCCACGCTGGGCGGAAAAGGGGATGCCAATGCTAAATTTTCAGAAAGTTGTGGGTCTCAGCCGCTGTACCCGTCCCGATTCCCGCGGCCACATTCCTCACGTTGGTGCAGCGAAAAACACGTGCCAAATTTGCATAATAATAAAAATTTACGAGAATTATAAACGGGGATATGTCACTTTCAAAAATCGATTGGGGGTTGGGAGCTTAGCGAAAAAGGTTGACTTAACCTCCCCTAAAACCTGCTTTCTCTCCGGATTCCGGTCACTTGAGTTTGTATTCTCGATGTTAAAATAATAAAAAATATATTTCGTAGCTTCAAAATTATGTTCCTGTGGAGGAATAACTCCCAATATTCGTATTAATGTGAGCTGCCTTCTTGTTAAAAGTATAAAATGGGGTGTAATTTGCAGAGCAGCATTTTCCTTAATCTTGATAAGTGATCACTGGTGAGTACCGCCATCG